TTCCACCTTCCATAAGTGAATGAAGCCATAAGCGACTAGATACATCCAAATGCAAGGGCGATCTTCATCACCGAAATTGCAATAAGCCCTATATACCGTCTTAGTTGACTTCTCTACTCGTAAATGGAACTCCTTGTTGATGGCAAATTGCCGAACTGCCAGCTTGAACTCCTCCATTGTTAGGTACATTGTCCCTACCTCCATTGATGGGTTCTTCTTATCATACGTAATGACCATCTCACCGAGTACGGCATCACTAGTAGGGATGGCAGCACCATCAATATCTTGCCCAAGCGCAGTATCATTCACTTGTTCATCCATTCGGCAACCAAAGCCTTGTGTAGGTACATTTGTTGACTCATTTGTTGTGCCCTCTTCTGTCAAGCCTAAAAACTCACACATCCGGCTCTCGCTCATAACTTCAATTCGACCTTCATAATCATGTGTTTCCACAATTTGTAATGTTGCCCAATCAACTTTTCCTATAGTTTCCACATCATTCACTTCGGACCTATAAACAAGCCAAACCTAGTTTTATTTTTGTACGGTACTTGTACTGAAAAAAAATAAAAGATCTAGTGGATGCAATATATACCTTTGCACTTGAAGAACAGGAATGTTGCACTCTCTTGTCGGATGAGGAGCAGTAGGCAGAAGTGACCTTGCTAGGGCTAGAGCATCGATGGAGGCCTCCACTGCTGGCTGCAGACCATCGGTTGCCCCAGCCTAGGCAGCTTGGCCATCAGGTGCCGCGGCCAGTGCACCAGCTTGGTCGGGCAGGCCAGCAGGCGCCGCGCCCAGGGCACTGGGCGACGCCGAGGCTAGAGCACCGGGCGACGCCGCGGCTAGGGCACCAGGTGCGGCCTCGGCTAGGCACCACGCGTGGCCAGGGCTTTGGTTGCCTCCAAGTCCATGGCCGGCGGCGTCGGCAGGGAAGGAGGGCAGCGGGCGGAGGTTCTTCTCCATCCATGGCTGGCGGCGTGGGAGGTGAAGAACGGGCGACGGCTGGCGGTGTTCGCGTACGGAAGAGAAGGAGGAACGACGCGCTCGTGCGCCGTACAGAAGGAGGAACGACGGGATGGGGCAATGAATCGACACGGATAGATTAGAATACCAGAAGGGAAATATAGTCAATATGAGAAAATACATGTATTTGAGTTTTGGAATATGATTAAAAGTTGTCTAAATGTCATTATAACAAAGTCACAACGTTTCGAGTCCTATTTTAGCAAAGCCAACGTCAAGAGTCCTATTTTAGCAAAGGCACATGTTTGGGAGTCCTATTTTAGCAATTTTCTCAAGAACCAAACGCCTCCTAAACATTATTCACCCGCTTCGTAGGAAAAGACTCCTCCTACTAAGCTACTACAGTACTATTAGCGCAGTAGGTGTGGGACCCTGTGATGGCTAGACACAGGACACAGCAGGCGGCAGCTGCTGGGTTGGGGTTGGGATTGGGGTTGGGGTTGCTTTGTTGGTGAGACAAGGAGCAGTTGGCATCAGTCCCGACTTGCTAGCACGCGCCGACGCAGGTATGGGCGGGACTTTGGCATTTCAGCCATCATCAAAAACGGGTTTCGTAGTTTTACCATCCCTTAAAGTGGTTTCGCTAGTTTGCCATTATGAAACTGGTGTCATCCGCTGAAATACATTTTGGGTAGTTTTAATTCGTGAAAAAAAGAAGACGCCTCCTTCCATTCCTACCCCTGGCTGCCTGCTGTTATGTTTGTCAACGGATCGAACGTCAAAATGGATCGGCTCTCTCTCCCGTTACTCCCTCTCCTCCATCCCCAGCGGCAACTTCGGCGACCGCCGGTCGCCCCCGCCGCAGCCGTCCGCGTCGGCGCCAGGAGCTTCCTTGACTTGGGCGTCGGGGCCGGGCGAGGCAGACGACGGGAGCGAGGAGGAGGAGGACGTCCCTGTGCGCCAGCTCCCGTTCGGCCGGGTGACGGCAGAGGCCGCTGGGCGGAGGTGTCCAGTCCACCCGCCAGCCCTGGCGGCGGGAGCCGGAGCCTAGCAGTGAGCGCATCAGCACCGTGCGTGCTTGCACCGAGCTGTGCTCGCTCCTGGGCTCCTAGCCTGCTAGCCTTCTTGGTTCCTGTGCTTGCGTTCGTTCAACAGCAGGTTGGAGAGCAACCCCTCCGTTGTTGTGCGTGTGATTTCCTTGCCTGTCTTTGAGTGATCTGATTTTGTTTGCTCAAAAGCTTGATTCTTGCATTCGTGAATTAGTACAAATCTTTGGAGTATTAAATTTCTTCTTTCACTTGATACGGTATTCACAACTGCCGGAGCTGCCAGCCACAGTTGAATCGGCCCTCTTGTTCATCATGGTTCTGCTGGCTACTGGAACAGTTGGCTACTTTTCTTGCTCCTGAATCGTGTACGTCTACGGCGAACTCTTTCCTGTGCCCGGTTTGTCCTGCTAGCCTGATCTCCAGGATGCGTAGGCGACCGTGTGAGCCCCGAGAGGGGGGCCGGCGTGGTGGCAGGCGGCTGATGCCGCTGGGATGGAGGAGAGGGAGTAACGGGAGGGAGGGCCGATCCATTTTGACGAACATAACAGCAGGCGCGGGGGTAGGAATGGAAGGAGACGTCTTTTTTTTCACGAATTAAAACTACCCAAAATATATGTGACACCAGTTTTATAATGGCAAACTAATGAAACTACTTTGAGGGATGATAAAACTGCTAAACCCGTTTCTGATGATGGGGTAAAATGCCAAAGTCCCGACATGGGCAGGCCTTGCCTTGGATGCTGGTCTTCTGCTGCTGGGGGACCACCCACGGCCACCACCTGTCCCCACTGGATCAGCAGCGGGTTGGGTTGGATTGGATATACCATGCCACGGTTAGTGCCGTGCTCTTCGTTATACATTCTGCAAAGATGCCCGTGAGGCTCGGCTTTTGATGAAGCTTGAGTTAGCCTAGGTCTTTAGATTTCAAATTTTTTCACTCTCTTCATCATATTAAATCTTTGATACATGCATGGAGTATTAAATGTAGATAAAAAAAATAATTAATTACACAGTTTGATTGTAAATTACGAGACGAATATTTTAAGCCTAGTTAGACTATGATTAAATAATAATTGTTAAATACAAACGAAAGTGCTACAGTGCCAAATAATAATTCCTAACCGCGAACTAAACAGGACCCTAGCAGCTCCTGTCCTGCTGCTCGCTCGGGGTCCAGTATCAAGCGACAAGCGTAACCTGCCGTACTTGCCGATCCTTCGCTGCTGTACTTTTGCTGTTTATCCTACGCTTAGATTCAGGGGATCGGAAGCCCGTTCTGTTCTATTCGCGATAAAGAGATTCGGCATGATCGGTTCCTTTCAAAATTTATTTTAACAAACTATAATTTTTGCTACAATTTAGTTTGCTACCAAAATTTTCCTCTCATATTTGGTTTGCTAAATTTATAATAACTTTTTTTTCAACTTTTGACTTGCCAAACCTTTGACATAGCAAATTTTAGAAAAGTCAACTAAGCAGGCCATCAGTTTAGCTCGTCTGCGTGCCGCCATTTCACCCCACCAGGGGCCAACATCTCGTCACCGTGCGGCGCAGGAGGTTGTCACCACTGGCTTCGTTACCGTCAAGGGGCGCGCAACAACAAGCATGAAGCATGCATGTCAACATGAACACGTGGATGTGCCAAGGTCATCAGCCATTAGACAGTAAAAAGAACGACGACGCGTAGACAAGCAACAACGAGGCGAGGAGAATCACGGTGTCCACTGGGCTAGGGTCGCGCGTGAGAGAAGAGTGAAGCAAAGATCCATTCTGAGAGAAGAGGAAAAGTGAGGGGTTGAATGCAAAAAAAAAAACATACACACTAGCACGCCACATCAGCATGGAACGCCACTAGCAAAAATGGATTTTCAAAATTCGTGGACTTAATTGAGACACCCCTACAAGTTTGCGGGGGTGCTAGTGCATTTAATTCTATTTAGGCCCCGTTCGTGTGCCCTTAAACCCGGCTTGATCCGCTTTTTTTTTTCATCCGAAACAGTGTTTCCTCTCACAAATTCCTCCAGATTCATTCAGATCCCTCCAAATTTCTCCAAGCGAACGGGGCCTTAAAGTGACAAACCTTAGCCTATGCATTTATACTCACCCCAAGCCCGCGCCAGAGAGGAAGAAGAATGTGGCTAGGGTTGCGGCAAGGAGCTCGCCAGCGTCAGAGACAAGGACCTTGCCGGCGTTAGGATTCCGACGAGGTTAGGGATCTATTCCCCAACAACTCTAGAAGGGGGTTCGGCGGGAGGTAACGTGCGACACAGCGGGAGAGACGGCGGCGGGGCGAGGCGATGGAAGAAGACAGTTGGGCGGGGCCAGCGGCGGAGCTCACCGGCGCCCTGCCTTGAGATTAGGGTGGGCGGGGATCAAGGGGCTAGGGTGGGTGGCGCGGCGAGGCGGCTCGCCGCGCGGCCATCGGTAGTGGGGGCGGGGGCAAGGACGAGGACGACTCCGGTGAGCTTCCAAGAGTTTAGGGGAGAGAGGGATCAAAGGGAAGGGGCAGGAGGTAGGTGGGCGTCGAGGCAACAGCCGTCGGTGGTGGTGGGTGGGGGAGAAGGCAGGGAGGAAAAAGAAGGCGGGGAAGAAAGCGTCACGAAGAGGAAGACGGGTCCCACGTTCCTTGAGCACACGACCTGTCGTGCGTTACCACGGTCTATGCGTAAAGTGCATCTCGCTTACATGGATCGTCTTATCGGTATGCTTATCAACAATTGAATTGCGATTAACCTCTATCGGGCATCCAATTGGCAACTTGTATACTTGCAATTTTCTTAGGATTACAGCGCCTAGTTCTGTAATTTTCTACGGTACTAAAATATTATTTAAATAATAGTTCTAGATGTTTTTGAGAGGGATAAAATTCTAGATAGACAGTCTCTGATCCTGAGCGTCCGTTTTTGTCCAGACGGTCACGCCGCGAACATTTCCCGCCCCATCAAACCAAAACCCCACCGGTCACCGCCGCTGACGGCCGCCGCGATGGAGCTCTCCGCCGCCTTCGAGGAGCGCGTCCGGCAGATGGAGGACGCCCGCAACCACCGCCTCGCCCTCCTCAACGTCTCCTACGCCGCTCCCCTCCTCATCTCGAATTCCCTCATCTCCCTCCTCTCCGAAACCCTCCGAACCCTGACTCCCCGGCCTCACCGCGGCGCCTCTCTCCTCCCCCTTGATGCGCAGGCCGAGAAGGAGATCCAGGCCGCCAAGCTCCGCATTCTCTCCGCCAAGCTCGCCGCCACGCGCCGACTCGAGTGCCGCCGCCTACTCCTCGAGCGCCGCGCCGCCGACCTCGCCTCCCGCGCCCTCGCCGCCCGCGCCGACATCGACGCCGCGCGCGCGCGCCGCCTCCTCGTCGCCCGCGACCTCAGGTAGGCAAGCAAAGGCAAGCCACCCGTGATCCGATCCGCCCATCTCACTTTCTCTCCCTCCACCCTGAAACTCTGGGCATTTCGTTTTTGGTTAAGAAGATTCAACATCTGCATATCTAATCGGGCGCGCAGCTCGGTGAGGGGCGAGATCGAGGAGGCCGAGAGGAGGGAGGAGGACTGGGACCGCTTCTACGAGGCCAAGAGGAAGGAGATGGAGGAGTTCCAGGTGGAGTCGCGGCGGTTCGTGGCGGAGACTCGCGAGGAAGTGCAGAGGCTGAGGGATTCGGTATCTCAAGTATGGTCCCGATACTTTGCATCCATAAACTATGATCTATTGAACTCATCACAGTTCCTAGCTTGTTTAGCCTATTTGCAACTAATTGCTTGGCATCTGGGTGAAACTGGTAAATTTTTACTAATTCTGTTCGCTTGGCAATAATAGTGCAGAGGTGTTTAATATGCTTTGGTCTGATCTATCCAGTAGCCCGTCTTCTCGGTTAAAATCTATCCAGTAGCATGTGCTAACCAGTAAGAGTATTGATTGAGTTTTGTTGGCTTGCCAACCAGTAAGAGTATTGATTGAGTTTTGTTGGCTTGCCCGATGGAATGGACCACAGGGGAAGCTGGAAGCTAACTCTTGCCATCTAGTCAAATTGTTGCCTTGCCATTTCATTGCATTTCAGATGGACCAGATCAATGCAGGTGATAAATTCTTGGGCCATGGTTGTTGCCTCCTGAGATGGATTTGAATTATTGTCAATCCTGTGTTGGTCGGCACCAACATGTGTGGCTTCAGTATTCAAACAGCGAAAAAGAGCATGGTTATGAGTTACTATGACTTATGTGAAGATCAATAAAGCCTAACCTGTATTTTATTGGGTCTATCCCTTACTAAATTATATGAACACTAAAAAAGAATGTGTTATGTACCTAAAAAAACAAGAATGTGTTATGAACACTAAATTATATGAACTTAGGCAGAACAGCACCGGCACGCCCGACGCTGTTCTTGATGCGAATCCTCAGGTATGGTCTGTCATGGCCACGGGTTACATCGAGGCTTGCCAGCCTCTTCCCTGGCGTCAGAGTTTTGACCCAGGCCCATACTCTTGGACTTGCAGTGGTTGGCGGCGGTATGGGTCCCCGTCGGACGAGACGGAACCCGCGTCCTCGAGGTTGGGCGAGACGGAGCCCGCGACCTTGGGCGAGACGGAAACCGCATCCTTGGGGTCAGGCGAGACGGAGCCCGCACCCAAGGGGTCGGGCGAGACGGAGCCCGTGGCCTCGAGGTCGGGCAAGACGGAGCCCGCGGCGATGAGGTCGGGCGAGACGGAGCCCGTGGCCTTGGGCGAGACGGAACCCGCGGCCTTGGGGTCGGGCGAGACAGAGCCCGCACCCAAGGGGTCAGGCGAGACGAAGCCCGCGGCCTCGAGATCAGGCGAGACGGAGCCCGCGGCCTTGGAGTCGGGCGAGACCTTTCAATACGTTTCGAGCCATCCGGAGAAGTCAGCGTAGGCGCTAACTTTCTTGCTTTGGGTATCCCTAATATCGATACCCGACAATACTAGTTCGTAAAGAGGAACGTTCCTGGGTAGTTTTTTTCTATTAGGCCTAGGTAGCAAGAAATAGCTGTTCATGGAAGCTGTGTGTGTTTTCATCTCCGTGGATTCTCTCTCAGTCTATCTTATCAAGTAGCTATTATTTTACTTGCCCGATGCAAGAAAACAATTCATTGGGAGTCATGGACCATGGTCTGCACATAACCATACTTCACAAGCATCCAAATAACATTAATATGAATTTAGATGACAACCTGTTCTTGCATATAAGAGTCTGCTCTCCTAAGAAATCGTTGATTGGTCCATTTTGTTAGGTTTGCAGTGCAATAATATAGCACAGTGGCGTGGAACTATCTCAAATGGCATACACAGTTCAAGATCTACAGACCTGAGCCAATGAATAGAGAGCCATTGCTCAGGATCCCACCAAGCACTTACAGCTACATTATTATTTTCTTGCATTGTTTGGGTCGCTGTGCGTTCATATAGGGCCGAATTACTCTTCTGCTGATGTTGTGAATTTGTATCTGCTTCTGATTAACGGATGGTTCCTGTAATGGCTACAGCTGAAATCTACACTGTAAGAGCTGCAGAGCAGCGCGATGTACTCAAACAACACGGAGATTGCTGCCGCAGAAGCTAGGAAGTCTGATCTGACAGCTAAGAAGGCAAAGCTGGGCGAGAGCCTGGCTTCAGCCCGCCAGTTCAGAGCGCTGCTTCAGCAGCAGCTCCAGAAAGCTTTTCAGTCACAGGTGGACAATGGGGATCAGAAAGAAGCTCAAGCTACCATTTGAAGTACTTCAGGTACAACAATCATGCCATGAGGAAAGCGAGGGCGCCTGCATTGGTTCGCCCGGTGACTTCTTTCGGTTTCATTCTTGATGTATCTGTATCGGTTGTACAGGTGGAAGAAATCTGGTAGGGTCCAAGAAATACCATATGTCATTTTGGTTGATCACTGAAGAACACCGTATGGCACTTTTTCACGGCAATGGAAGCATGTGTTACTCAATTGTTACGTACTTCATTGCAACGCTTGACCAGAACTCTGCCTTTGCCATATGCAGCAAGGCCTTGTTTAGATTCAAGTTTTTTCACTCTCTCTCTTTATCACATCAAATCTTTAGACACATGCATGAAGTATTAAATATAGATAAAAAAATAACTAATTATACAGTTTGATTATAAATTACGAGACGAATCTTTCGAGCCTAGTTAGACCATGATTGGATAATAATTATCAAATACAAATGAAAGTGCTATAATACCAAATACTGATTTCTAACATCTATCTAAACAAGGCCTAAGTGCAAAGCATATATACTCGCCACATTTGCTGCAGGATCTTTGGCAAAGCCTGAGCCTTTTTCACCCAGTGGACTGGATTGGTACTGACGCTGCAATGCAAAGTGTGCAGCGTACTCCTCTCATCAATGTGTAGGGCTAGTCGCCCCCATTTGCGTATTTGCATGCCGCCCAGAGGCAAAGTGGACGCTTTAGGCTTGTTTAGAGTTTAGAGCGTGTTTACTTCTAGGAAGTTGGAATTTGTTGCTACTGTAGTACTTTCGTTTTTATTTGTTAATTAGTGTTTAATCATGGACTAATTAGGCTCAAAACGTTCGTCTCGTAATTTTCCATCCAAACTGTGCAATTAGTTTTTTTTCATCTATATTTAATGCTCCATACACGGACCGCAAACATTCGATGTGATAGGTACTGTAGCACTTTTTGGAAATTTGGGGTGGAACTGAACACGCGCTTACTCTAAATATCATCGAACGTTTGACATATGCATGAAGTATTAAATATAAGGACGTACCTAGTGCAGAGAGCTCCCGCTCTGTGCAGGGTCTGAGAAATTGTGTCAGTGGCAAGCCTTACCCTTGCATGTGCAATACGAGGAGACTGCGACTCAAACCCGGATCTTCTGGCCACAGGCGGTAAGACTCTACCGCTTATACCAGACCCGTCCTTCACATGGAGTATTAAATATATTCTTAAAAAATAACTAATTACACAGTTTGCGACAAATTTACGAGACGGATCTTTTAAATCTAATTAGTCCATGATTTAACAATGTGTTGCTACGGTAACACATATGTTAATGATTGATTAATTATGCTTAATAAATTTGTCTCGTGTATTACTGATGGATTCTGTAATTTATTTTTTCTTTAATATTCGAACACTCTATATAACACTCCATGTGATATTCGATATAACACCTTAAAACTTTATAAGTGGATTTAAACAAGCCCTTAGGATTGGTGTTGATGCCCCCCCTCTCCAACTACTCACGCACTTGTACCATCCCGTTAAATGCTGCTGCTGCACATGAGGAAGCTTTTCTTGCGATGTCAGGTACGAATCGTCCGTGCATTGTAGCACACAACGAAATGCGGCTGTAATTCATAAATTCTGGCAAATAAATATCGTGCCAGGTGCTGGATGCAAAGAAAGATACAGAACATAGGTAGGCCCTATTTAGTTTTCAAATTTTTTGATTTTCTACAGTAAAAGAGCATGTTTGGACATATGCATGGAGTACTAAATATAGACGAAAAAAAACTAATTGCACAGTTCTCGGCAAAATCGCGAGATGAATCTTTTAAGCCTAATTAGTCCATAAAAAGCCTTAAGTGCTACAGTAACCCACATGTGCTAATGACCGATTAATTAGTATTATTAGATTCGTCTCGCAGTTTTCTGATGGGTTCTGTAATTTATTTTTTTATTAGTATCCAAAAACCCCTCCCGCCATCCTTCCGACACATCCGATATGACACCTAAAATTTTTCACCTCCCCAACTAAACACACCCTTAATAGAGTCACGATCATGTGCACACCAGTGTGTAGTGTCTGAGATTTGTTGGTAAGTTGGGGTTCCTGCACCGGCTTCTCCACCGACTCGAGTAGTGGAGCATGAGAAGCTGTACCAAACGTCCTCGCACTGAGGAGCGCTTTTGGCCACCAAAATATGGAGCCATGAAAACTAATTTCTTCGTTCCAAATTATAATTCGTTTGACTTTTTTTACCCTAAGTTTGATCACTCATTTTATTTAAAAAATTTGTGCAAACTTAATCAAATTTAAGTCATTCTTGAAGAATTTTTGTTAATAAAACTAGCCACAACAAAAAGTGATATTTAGCATAAATTTTTAAATAAGACGAGTCGTTAAACTAGGTGTCCATGGCTGAAAGTACCGTTCGCTGCTTTATTGTGAGAGAAAAACATTATTTGTTCACTGAAATATTACGACTCATAAGACAAGTGAACAGGAAGACAATTATTTGGAACGGATTTAGTAGCTTCACTCGGGGGTCTAGCTCTGACCGCGGTGCACACGTGGAGGAATGGTACCAAATAGGCTCTTAGAGCTCATCTTCAACACACGAAATTAGGGATTTCAAATAACAAAAAAGGAGAACAAAAAAACAAGAGGCAAATAGTAGAAAAACGTTATTTGTTTTAGTTTACAGCGGAATATTTGTCATTATAGGAGGGAGCCACAATTTGTCTTTGTTGGGGGCCAATACTAGGGTACCCAAAGAGGAGCTAATGACCATCAACATTGATTCATCCAAGCAGTCAAGAGCGCGACTACAGCTCCAACCGACCTTTAGGCGCGCAAGCTCCGCCTCGCCCGACCCTTGGGTTAGCACTCCGCCTCGCCTGACCCTAAGGCCGCGGGCTCCGCCTTACCCGACCCTTGGGTTTGCGCTCCGCCTCGCCCAGCCTCTGGGGAGGGCTCCGCCTCACCCGACGGAGGCCCATACTGCCGCCAACCACTCTAGGTCCAAGCGTATGACCCTGGGTCAAAGCTTTGACACCAAGGAAGAGACCGACACGCTCCGATGTAACCCGTGGCCATGACGGGTGTCGATAAAAGATGCTCGACAGTCCTCCGAGGGGTATCCGACGAAGGTAGATTGATCGGTGGAGGTGCGCGTAATCAGGAACCGGATGGTGACACAAGGCATAGAGACAGCGATTTAGACAGGTTCGGGCCGTCTGATCGACGTAATACCCTACGTCCTGTGTCTTTGGTGTATTATATTGAATATGAGATGTGTGTAGATCTATATCCCTGTTGACTAGGGGACCCCTGCCTCTCCTTATATACTCTGAAGGGGTAGGGTTACAAGAAAAGTATCCTATCTAGTACTATACAGTATCTTGCGATGCACATCGAGCAGTGTCGTGCACGCATTGATCTTGTGGGCTGAGCCACCTCTGATGGTGCGGCCCATGTCTTGTCTTGTGGATACTAGGGGCCATACCCCCATGGCTAGTCCCCGAGCCTGACAGTAGGTGACGTAGTCACATGGTGCCAGGGTTAGAAAGTAGAAGAAAGGTAGAAGACTGGCCGAGCAAGCAACCAGTCCACGGGCGGAGCCCTGAATTGAAAAGCGCACATTCACCGCAAGGTGAAGTGTGCCCACTTAGTCCTCGAGCCTGCTGGAAGATGGAGAATGAATCTTGTAGCAGGGTTAGAGAAAAAGAAATCTGAAAGCTTGCCGACGTCGTCTGTCAAGTGCGTATCAAGACCCCAGACGTGCTGACAAGATCAACACTCTGATTCGAATAGCATGGAGCAGCTTGATAGCACACCGATGAGACATAGCAAGATCCGACCACCAAGGGAGTCCCCGGTGTAGTTGGCGACGTCCGAGCACCGAGGAGTCCCCGGTGTAGCTGGCGACGTCCGAGCACCGAGGAGTCCCCGGCGTAGCTGGCGATGTCCGAGCACCGAAGGAGTCCCCGGTGTAGCTGGCGATGTCTGAACACCGAGTCCCTGGCCTAGCTGGCGACGTTCGAGCACCGAAGGAGTCCTCGGCATAGGTGGCGATGTCCGAGCACTGAGGAGTCCCTAGCGTAGCTAGCGATGTCTGAGCATCGAAGAGTCCCTGGCGTAGCTAGCGATGTCTGAGCACCGAGGAGTCCCCGATGTAGCTGGCGATGTCCGAGCACCGAAGGAGTCCCCGGTGTAGCTGGCGATGTTCGAGCACCAAGGAGTCTCGGGTCTAACTGGCGACGTCCGAGCACCGAAGGAGTCCCTAGCGTAGCTGGTGATGTCCACAAGGTGAAGTGTACCCACTTAGTCCTCGAGCACAAAGAATCCGAGCACTGAGGAGTCCCGGCGTAGCTAGCGATGTTCGAGCACCGAGCAGCCCCTGGCGTAGCTGATGATGAATCACGAGCGATAAACAGTCCGGTCAACTGGTCGGCGGTGAAGTGAGCATTGAGTAGAAACGACCGGCGAACAGTTCGATCAATTGGTCGGCGACTAAGTCCATGAACCTAGCGGTCCAACCAGTTGATCGGTGGAGAAGTCCGAGCACCAGGTGGTCTGATCACCTGGATGATAATCCTACAATACAAATATATAGAACGGGTAGTACATGATGCAGAAATATATGAACTCCAGAGAAAAATCAGCAGTGGTGATGAAATAGCATATGCAGCTCGGCGATCAGTTGGTGTGTGTTTATATTTAATATAAACCGCCCGACCAGTTAGTGTGTAGCTCAGTCTCCAGCCCTAGCTAGCCTATTAACCATAACACGGAGTGCGGAGCCCGTGTGCGTGTAGGAAGAACAAAGCGTCGCTAAGGAGCCGCTACCGGCCACCCATAATGTAGAGGGCAGACGCTCATGCACGTGTAGGGAGGAGCCGGAGACAGGGCCGTCTCTGGGGACATCCGAGCGTCAACATGACTGTTCGGGGGTTCAGAAAATCATTTGAAGAGCAAACATGGAGAAAACAGCTCGGATAAATATTATGGTGATAT